AGAGAGAGAGACAGAGAGAGAGACAGAGAGAGAGACAGAGAGAGAGAGAGAGACAGAGAGATTCTGAATAATGTGCTGATGATATGCACACTGAAGGATCTGAAGCGCTGAAGTCACACACTGTAATGGAGGATGAGAACCAATGGACAGATGCCGCAGATAGGGCATGGCTGTGGGCGGTGAACAGGAAAGGGCACATCTTATCAGGGACATTTCCAAACACACCAGAGAGCAGGAACAATTCTCAGGTGACCATCACCCAGCTTCCGCAAGGTCAATGCCCGCCAGCCCTAAACACTGGACCCTCAGGAATCCATTCTGCAACACTGGGCCCCACAGTGACGAGCATTCTCCACAGGGTGAGCTGGGAGGGTGGGTGTTATCTTCCCCTGGAATAGCCATGTGCCATGTTTGTCTTTACATATCTGGAAACCGAACCCAGGGACATTCTGTCACTGAGTTATGACCCCCAAGCCTTTGCCCTTTTTTATTCTGAAACAGGATCTTATAAAGTTGCCAGGTTGGCCTCAGACTTGCAATCCTCCTGCTTTAGCCTCTGAACAGCTGGGATTACAGGTGTGCACCAACACTCCTGGCTTGGAACAGCTGGTTTTGAACAAGGAGGTCTTCTCCTTGTCAACTTCTACTGAATCTCCTTTTAGTATCCTAAGGACTTCTACCATTTGCAGTACCATGGCTGCACCCCTCCATGTGCATGAGGCTGGATCCCTTTGTCCTTGGCCCTGCCCTTTGACCCCAGCACGGCACTGTGACTGAGCAGATGAATGAACCATGAGTCATTTCTAGCCTAGGCTTTATAAGCTGGCTCCACGCTCAGCAGGCCCTTTTTTCTGCCTCCAAGTTCATGAACTGGGGGTGCCAGAAAGCTCTGGCCAGCCTGGGGCCCCAGAAAAACAGACCCAGAAACATGGGCCAAGCCACGGAGCCAGAAACTCACCATGCTGCAAAAGTCGCCCTGGAGTGACCTCACCTGTTCCCACAGTTGTGCCATGTTACAAATGCAGGGCGAGGGGCAGAGAGCCCAGGGCTGCCAGAGACCATGGAATGCAGAGCCCCGACTGTGTCAGCAATAATGAGAAAACAGAACAGCTGGAACAGTGTTCCATGATCAGTATTCTATGTGTGCACTCTCGCTGTTGTGTACCCACCCTTCTCGTGATCTTGTGAAGAGAGGGAGACTACCGAAACAGGCACGGGGACACTGGGGCATGAAGACTACCTGGACGCAAGCACTGATACCAATCTGGCAATGAGGATGACTGAGTGGTGAAGGGGCTGGGTGCAAGACCACACCATGGGAACGATGGCAAAGGGTGAGTCACGGACCCGTGGGCGAGGGGAAGGGAGGGGAGGAGATGAGGTGCAGAGCGTGTCTCAGAGGAGCAGGTTGATTTTTCTTAGTCTAAAAAAGGCTGAAAGTTATTCAGTAATTTATTCCTTCCCCCTAGCCGATAAACACTCAAGCTTTGGCAGGGTATGGTGGTGCACAGCTCTGATCTCAACACTGGGAGGCTGAGACAGGAAGGGTGCAAGTGTGACCCCAGCCTGAACAATTCATTGACTTGGTGAGACAGACCCTGTCTCATAATTTAAAAATGTGTAAAAAAGGCTGGGGATACAGCTCAGGGTAGAGGTCCTGGGTTCAATCCCCAGCACCACAAACAAATGAACAAAGGCCCCCCTCAGAGCTACACAGGGTCCCCCACCACTATGGCTTTCTCTGCTTGGACCTGGATTCAGAAATCCAGTCCAGGAGCTGTCACCTGAGTGCCCTCATACAAGAGCCATGCGGTCTGCCTCACCCAGGTTCTGGGGACATTGCTCAGCAGGACCTAGGGTGGCATTCCTGATGCCTCTCAGTGTGGTGACATAAAGCCTAGTGAAGCTGAAAAGAGGAGTCCCATGGGGCTGGGGATGCCAAATGCATAGCCACCTCGGGGAATGATGTGGCGGTCCCTCCAGGCTGGGCATTTTATCCGCTTATCCAAGGTCCAGCAAACATTTCCAGGTACATAACCAAAGGAGAGAAGAGATTCAAGCCAGATTTGCACAAACCTGTATTCACAGAAAGAGCCTACATGTGCCCCAAGGTTGAATGGATCATGGGGAGGCGCGGCACATGCAGGGAAGTATGATTCAGCAGTGTAGGGCAAGAGAACACTGACAGAGGGATTCTATGGTGCGGATGAGCCCCAGACGCAGTGTCAAGTACAACAGCCAGTACTAAAACAAGGCTTACTGGTTCAGGCAAGGTCCAGAGTCAATAAATTCAGAGAAACAGAAAACTCAAAGGGGAGGCTGGGGGAAGGGGTTTCTGTGTAATGTGTATAAAGTTTCCATGGGGAAGATAAGCATTCTGGAGACGGATGGCAGTGACAGCCTCGAGGCACAAATGTGCTGAATGCCACAGGTACAAAAGAGCAGTTAAGGTGGTCAGGCGGGGTGGCACAAAGCCATCATACTGTCTGGAACTTGCAAACTCCTGACGTCCTCCTCATGGTGTGTGTGCCTGTGCACATGGGGTGTTCACACACTTCAAATGCACACATGGTTCCTTGATCAGTGAGTTAGGGAACTCTGTTCTCTAAAGTCGCAATGGGTTTGTCTTCTCTCTGACAGTGTCTTCACTCCTTGCCGACAAGCGCAGCTCCCACAGATACTAGAAGACCACTAAACTCAGCTACACACTGCACCAAGGAGCAGCGCCTGCTTCAGGGAAGGAAGGAAGCCCCACACATGGCCAGCTCCCACTGGTCCAATCTCGGTGATTTTTTTTCTCCCTGACTTAAATGGGGTCACACAAGTGGGGCCAGATTCTCTCTCCAGACCCTGCACCCTCTCAAGAGCTTCCAGGCCAGGTCTCGGCACAGGTGGACTGTATTTCCCTTTCCAACCTGTACCTGGGGCACATTGCTTTGCTAGTGAGACAAACCCAGCAAGTATTTCCAGGGGAGTTTTGTGGCTTGGACCTCAAAACCAGCCTGGTCTACACAGCAAGACCCTGTCTCTTTTTTTTTTTTTTTTTGCAGAACCGGGGATTGAATTCAGGCCC